CGCTTTATTTCTCTTTGCTTCGCTTAGCTTCGCTTTGCTTCGCTTCGCTTCTCTTTGCTTCTCTTTGCTTTGCTTCGCCTAGCTTCGCTTAGCTTCGCTTCGCTTCCCTTAGCTTTGCTTCGCTTAGCTTTGCTTTGCTTCGCTTCTCTTAGCTTCGCTTCACTTCGCTTAGCATCGCTTAGCTTTGCTTCGCTTCTCTTCGCTTTTCTTCGCTTCTCTTCACTTCCCTTAGCTTCGCTTAGCTTCGCTCCGCTTTGCTTCCCTTAGCTTCGCTTCGCTTAGCTTCACTTCGCTTCGCTTCCCTTAGCTTCCCTTAGCTTTGCTTCGCTTCGCTTCGCGTCGCTTTGCTTCGATTAGCTTCGCTTAGCTTCCTATTTGCTTCGCTTCGCTTAGCTTCTTGTTCGCTTCGCTTAGCCTCGCTTCGCTTAGCTTCGCTTCGCTTCGCTTCGCTTCGCTTAGCTTCGCTTCGCTTCGCTTCGCTTAGCTTCGCTTAGCTTCGCTTCGCTTCGCTTACCTTCCCTTCGCTTCGCTTACCTTCACTTCGCTTCGCTTAGTTTCAACTCGTTTCGATTAGCTTCGCTTAGCTTCGCTTAGCTTCTCTTAGCTTCGCTTCGCTTCTCTTAGCTTCGCTTAGCTTCGCTTTTCTTCGCTTCGCTTCGCTTCACTTTGCTGCCCTTAGCTTTGGTTCTCTTCCCTTAGCTTCGCTTCTCTTAGCTTCGCTTTGCTTCGCATACCTGCGCTTAGCATCCCGTTGATTCTCTTAGCTTCGCTTCTCTTTGCTTCGCTTCTCTATGCTTCTCTTCGCTTCGCTTCGCTTCAATTAGCTTCGCTTCGCTTCTCTTCGCTTTTCTTCGCTTCGCTTTACTTCGCTTGGCTTCGCTTAGCTTCGCATCGCTTCGCTTCGCTTCGCTTCCCTTAGCTTTGGTTCACTTCCCTTAGCTTCGCTTAGCTTCGCTTCGCTTAGCTTCGCTTCGCTTCACTTAGCTTCGCTTGGCTTCGCTTTGCTTTACTTCGCTTAGCTTTGCTTCGCTTCTCTTCTCTTCGCTTCGCTTAGCTTCGCCTTGCTCCGCTTTGCTTCTCTTAGCTTCGCTAAGCTTCGCTTTGCTTCGCTTAGCTTTGCTTCGCTTCTCTTTGCTTCTCTTAGCTTCGCTTCGCCTAGCTTCGCCTATCTTTGCTTAGCTTCGATTAGCTTCGCTTCGCTTAGCTTCGCTTCGCTTAGCTTCGCTTAGCTTCTCTTTGCTTCGCTTCGCTTAGCTTCGCTTTGCTTAGCTTCGCTTAGCTTTGCTTTGCTTCACTTCGCTTAGCTTTGCTTCGCTTCTCTTTTCTTCGCTTCGCTTCCCTTAGCTTCGCTTAGCTTCGCCTTGCTTCGCTTTGCTTCTCTTAGCTTCGCTAAGCTTCGCTTTGCTTCGCTTAGCTTTGCTTTGCTTCGCTTAGCTTTGCTTCACTTCTCTTTGCTTCGCTTCGCCTAGCTTCGCCTAGCTTCGCTTAGCTTCTCTTAGCTTCGCTTCGCTTCTCTTAGCTTCGCTTCGCTTCGCTTTGCTTTGCTTTGCTTCGCTTCGCTTAGCTTTGCTTCGTTTCACTATGCTTCGCTTAGCTTCACTTCGCTTCGCTTAGCTTCGCTTAGCTTCGATTTGCTTCCCTTAGCTTCGGTTCGCTTCCCTTAGCTTCGCTTCGCTTCGCTTAGCTTCGCTTCGCTTCGCATACTTGCGCTTAGCTTCGCTTTGATTCTCTTAGCTTCGCTTCTCTTCGCTTCGCTTCTCTATGCTTCTCTTCGCTTCGCTTCGCTTCACTTTGCTTCGCTTCGCTTCGCTTCGCTTCTCTTCGCTTTGCTTCGCTTCGCTTAGCTTCGCTTCGCTTCGCTTAGCTTTGCTTTGCTTCGCTTCCCTTTGCTTTGCTTCACTTTGCATAGCTGCGCTTAGCTTTGGTTCGCTTCTCTTCGCTTCTCTTCGCTTTGCTTCGCTTCCCTTAGCTTCGCTTAGCTTCGCCTTGCTTCGCTTAGCTTCGCCTCGTTTCTCTTAGCTTCGCTTAGCTTCGCTTCGCTTCTCTTCGCTTCTCTTCGCTTCGCTTCACTTAGCTTCGCAAAGCTTCACTTAGCTTCGCTTCGCTTAGCTTCGCTTCGCTTCACTTCGCTTAGCTTCGCTTCCCTTCTCTTAGCTTTGCTTAGCTTTGCTTCGCTTAGCTTCGCTTTGCCTTTCTTCGCTTCTCTTTGCTTCGCCTCGCTTAGCTTCGCTTCGCTTAGCTTCGCCTCGCTTCGCTTCTCTTAGCTTCGCTTAGCTACGCTTCGTTTAGCTTCGCTTTGCCTCTCTTCGCTTCTCTTCGCTTCGCTTCGCTTAGCTTCGCTTCGCTTCGCTTCGTTTAGCTTCGCTTCGCTTCGCTTCGCTTAGCTTCGCTCCGCTTCTCTTCGCTTTGCTTCTCTTAGCTTCGCTTAGCTACGCTTCGTTTAGCTTCGCTTTGCCTCTCTTCGCTTCTCTTCGCTTCGCTTCGCTTAGCTTCGCTTAGCTTCGCTTAGCTTTGCTTCGCTTTGCTTAGCTTCGCTTCGCTTCGCTTCACTTCGCTTAGCTTCGCTTCGCTTTCGCTTAGCTTTGCTTCGCTTAGCTTCGCTTTGCTTCGCTTAACTTCGCTTTGCTTCACTTAGCTTCTCTTTGCTTAGCTTCGCTTCTCTTCGCTTCGATTAGCTTCGCTTGGCTTTGCTTCGCTTCGCTTCGCTTTGCCTCGCTTAGCTTCGCTTAGATTCGCTTGGCTTTGCTTCGATTCGCTTAGCTTTGCTTCGCTTCGCTTAGCTTCGCTTCGCTTAGCTTCGCTTAGCTTCGCTTCCCTTAGCTTCGATTCGCTTCCCTTAGCTTCACTTCGCTTCGCTTTGCTTCGCTTAGCTTTGCTTAGCTTCGCTTCGCTTAGCTTCGCTTCGCTTCGCATAGCTGCGCTTTGCTTCGTTTTGCTTCTCTTAGTTTGGCTTCTCTTTGCTACGCTTCTCTTTACTTCTCTTCGCTTCGCTTCGCTGAGCTTCGCTTTGCTTCGCTTAGCTTTGCTTAGATTCGCTTAGCTTCCCTTCGCTTCGCTTAGCTTCTCTTCACTTTGCTTCGCTTAGCTTCGCTTCGCTTCGCTTAGCTTCGCTTAGCTTCATGTTCGCTTCACTTATCTTCGCTTCGATTAGCTTTGCTTCGCTTCGCTTAGCTTCCTGTTCGCTTCGCTTAGCCTCGCTTTGCTTAGCTTGGCTTCGCTTCGCTTAGCTTCACTTTGCTTCGCTTAGCTTCTCTTAGCTTCGCTTCGCATTGCCTAGCTTCGCCTAGCTTTGCTTAGCTTTGGTTCGCTTCGCTTCGCTAAGCTTTGCTTCGTTTCACTTTGCTTCGCTTCGCTTCGCTTAGCTTCGCTTCGCTCGCTTAGCTGCGCTTAGCTTCGCTTAGCTTCACTTCGCTTCGCTTAGCTTCGCTTAGCTTCGCTTAGCTTCGCTTAGCTTTGCTTAGCTTCGCTTAGCTTCGCTTTGCTTAGCTTCGCTTAGATTTGCTTAGCTTCGCTTAGCTTCGTTTAGCTTCGCTTTGCCTCTCTTCGCTTCTCTTCAGTTTGCTTCGCTTAGCTTCGCTTAGCTTCGCTTCGCTTCCCATAGCTTCGGTTCGCTTCCCTTAGCTTCGCTTCGCTTCGCTTCACTTCGCTTAGCTTCGCTTAGCTTCGCTTAGCTTCGCTTAGCTTCGCTTCGCTTCGCATACCTGCGCTCAGCTTCGCTTTGCTTCTCTTAGCTTCGCTTCTTTTCGCTTTGCTCTCTATGCTTCACTTCGCTTAGCTTCGCTTCGCTTCGATTCTCTTAGCTTTGCTTAGCTACGCTTCGCTTTGCCTCTCTTCGCTTCTCTTCGCTTAGCTTCGCTTAGCTTCGCCTAGCTTCGCTTAGCTTCGCTTCGCTTCCCTTAGCTTCGGTTCGCTACCCTTAGCTTCGCTTCGCTTCGCTTCCCATACCTGCGCTTAGCTTTGCTTTGCTTTTCTTAGCTTCGCTTCTTTTCGCTTCGCTTCTTTTTGCTTCGCTTCTCTATGCTTCTCTCCGCTTTGCTTCGCTTAGCTTCGCTTCGCTTCGCTTTGCTTCGCTTTGCTTTGCTTCGCTTCACTTCTCTAAGCTTCGCTTAGCTTCGCTTTGCCTGTCTTCGCTTCTCTTCGGTTCGCTTCGCTTAGCATCGCTTAGCTTCGCTTAGCTTCGCTTAACTCCACTTTGCTTCGCTTAGCTTCGCTTTGCATAGCTTCGCTTAGCTTCGCTTCGCTTTGCTTAGCTTCGTTTAGCTTCGCTTGGCTTTGCTTCGCTTCTCTTCGCTAAGCTTCGCTTAGCTTCGCTTGGCTTCGCTTCGCTTCTCTTTGCTTCGCTTCGCTTAGCATCGCTTAGCTTTGCTTCGCTTTGCTTAGCTTCGCTTAGCTTCGCTTAGCTTCGCTTTGCTTCGCTTAGCTACGCTAAACTTCGCTTTGCTTTGCTTAGCTTCGCTTTGCTTAGCTTCGCTTCGCTTCGGTTCGCTTCGCTTAGCTTCAAATAGCTTCGCTTGGCTTTGCTTCGCTTCGCTTCGCTTGGCTTCGCTTGGCTTCTCTTCGCTACTCTTCGCTTAGCTTCGCTTAGCTTCGCTTAACTTCGCGTTGCTTCACTTAGCTTCGCTATGCTTAGCTTCGCTTCGCTTCGCTTCGCTTCGCTTAGCTTTGCTTAGCTTCGTTTAGCTTCGCTTGGCTTTGCTTCGCTTCTCTTCGCTTAGCTTCGCTTAGCTTTGCTTAGCTTTGTTAGGATTAAGGACGGAGTCTAGGTGAACTTAGGAGCTAGAATTACTCAAAATATAAATCCGAAATTCTGGACAGAAAAGTCGTCCTCACAAGAAACGACGTCGACAAAAATCTAGCCGTTGGAATGTCGCGAAACTTGGATATGTTGTAGCTCTTAAGCTCAGCTACCATTCCCAATTCAAACCACGTTGATTAATGAAGTATTCGCAACGCTATGGCTTTCGACGCACTAGGGGGTAAGCTGTAGGAGGAGAACTTAACTCAATCTCAAAAGTTTAATCAAAGTTCAAGAATCTCACAAGGAAAAATTAGAGGAGCAAGAGAAAGGTTGGGATAGAAAGAGAGGGACGAGAGGGAAGGTCCCAAGAGAGTCCCCAACCAAGGAAACCCCATAAGCACAAAGATTCCCTCCCTATAGGAACCCCAATTTTGACATTTGTCCCTTCCCAACCAATCCATCCAAGTTGGCCACCCTTGCCAACCTAGCTTGGTTGTTCCCAACCAATTTGCAGCTGTTACAGTAGAGTGACAAATTTCCCCAACCCCCAAAGGTCCCAACTCCATATAAAGTCACCCCACAACTTCACTTTGTAACCGCCGCAATTGTAACGCAAGCTCATGAACTTTGAATCTTCATAGCTTTCGCGTTCTTGCTCCGATTGAAGCGATTCTTGTTGCCTCAGAAAGATCTTCTCAAGATCTATCATCGCAAATACCTGCTCAAACAGAATAACACAAAACACATTCCCAAACTCCAGAACACACCACACAAATTCTTTCACACACAGTCAAACCATACATGCGAATTGAAACAAGGGATGGGAGGAAGACAGAATGTGATAGCATATGATAACATCACACAACAATCTCCCCCTCTGGCTGCCAACCATCATCCACCATACCAACATCTCAAGCATGCATACTCAATGCACACTCATCCCAGCAAGCTTCATGCCCTTCCAATGATCCGCCTCCGCCAGACGCTTGGTGAAAATATCTGCTGCCTGCTGATGGGTCTTCACTATCTCCAGCCGCACCTCCTTATCAAGGAGTCTCCTCACCCAATGCCACTTAGGCCTTATGTGTTTTGTCAGCCCATGCAGACAAGCATTTTTGGCGAGCTTCACAGCGGACTCATTGTCACAAAACACAACTGTCGGCTTCTCCTGACCAACTCCCAACTCCTCCAACAAACGCCTTAGCCACACTACTTCCTTGGCCCCATGGTGTAAGGCCATGTACTCAGTCTCACATGAGGACAATCCCACCTCATTCTGCTTCTTGCTGCGCCAGCTCACAGCACCACCTCCTAGCAAGCACACATAACCCACAATGCTGGTGCCATCCGCTTTCACTGAGTTGAAGCTAGCGTCAGTATAGCAACTCAAGAGCATCTCTCCACTCTTCACATCTGCAGCACCTCTCTGCAACCGCTGCCTCACTCCACTGTACTCCAATCCCACTGATGCCGTAGCACTCACATAGCGGACCAACCTCTTGGCCGCTTCCAGCTGCTCATGACTAGGGCGTGAGACCACACTAGCCAACCGTGATGTAGAAAATGCAATGTCAGGCCGTGTATGATTTGCAGCATAATTCAGCAACCCAACCATCGAATGAAACAGCTTCCTGTCACTCTCACCCACTACCTCCTCATCAGCACATGGCTCCACAGTAAACCCTGAAGGTAGTGGTGTTGCTGGCTTTCCCCCATCTTGCAGCCCATACTTCTCAGCCAGCCCCTCACAGTACTTCCTCTGGTGCAACCTCAGCACACCCTTTTCCACATCTCTCTCCACGTGCATCCCCAAGTAGTACTTCACCTCACCCATCTTGGAGCACTTGAACTGCATCTCCAGCATCTGCTCTGCGCTGTCCAGCAAAGCAGTGGATGCAGAAAAGAGAAGGATATCATCCACATACACCAAGAGCATGAGGATTTCATCCTTCTCCTGCAGCAGGAACAGGCTGGGGTCACACTCACTCTTCTTGAAACCCCCAGCCAACAGCGCCTCCTCCAACTTGTGATACCATGCACGAGGCGCCTGCTTAAGGCCATAGATGGCCTTCTTCAGCCGCAGACCCTGCCGCTCCCGTCATCCAGCCCCTCTGGCTGCTTCATGTACACCTCCTCCATAATGATCCCATTCAGAAAGGCAGTCACAATATCCATCTGCCGAATCTTCCATCCCAGGAGTGCAGCTATCGCCAACAGCACCCTCAGTGTTGTTCCTTTCCCCACAGGAGCAAACACCTCATCATAGTCCTTCCCCTTTGTCTGCTGAAACCCCCGTGCCACAAGCCTAGACTTGTAGCGGATCAGCTCCCCTTCAGGTCCATACTTGTGCCTGTAGATCATCTTGGAAGTGATTGCCTTCTTTCCAGGAGGCAAGTCACACAGGTCCCATGTCTCGTTCTCAATTAGGGACTCGAACTCCTCATCCTCACTCGCCTTCCACTTCTCCCCATTTGGTCCATTCAAAGCCTCCTCTCGAGTCTTGGGCTCAGGGATTGGTGCCCAGTAGCAGTGAGCGATCTCATCTTCCTCAATCTGCTCAACCACACTCCCAGCCTGCACCACATTCGGCTTGCCTCTTCCCCCATAGGTTAGCCTCACCGGAGGGCGCACATCCCTCCTAGGTCGCTCAGGCGGGTGTGGAACTCGAGGTGGAGACTCATGCTGCTGCTGCTGCTCCTGCTGCTGCTGCTGCTCCACTTCAGCTGCTCCCCCTTCCTCAGTCACCCCAGACATCTCCTCCTCTGACACTGCAACCTCCACCTGTCTTGAAGGCTGCTGCACCTCATCTGCCTCCACAATGAGCGGTGTAGATGGAAGCTTCTGTTGCTGCTGCTTCCATTCCTTGTAGTACAGGGACTCAAGAAACTTCACATCCCTTGACACTGTCAACTTCTGGGTGGTCAAGTCCCATAGCAGCCACCCCTTGTGATCCTTTGCAATCCCTAAGTGCACACCCCATCTTCTAGAAGCCTCCAACTTCCCCCTTTTCTCCTTAGGCACATGAAACACCACCATGCACCCAAATGCCCTCAGCATGTTCACAGCTGGAGCACTCCCATACCACTTGGTATATGGGATCCACTCCTTATCTCCAACTGTAGCCAGCACCCTGTTCTTCACAAGGGCGACCTGCCTCAGTGCAGACACCCAAAACGGATCAGGCAGCCCTGCACGCCCAAGGAGAGTGCGTGCCCCCTCCTGCAGGGTCCTGTTGAACCTCTCAGCCACGCCATTCTGCTGCGGGTTGTAGGGCACTGTCAGTTGATGTTGGATCCCCTTCCTCTTCAACTCCCCCTCAAAATCAGCTCCAATGAACTCCCCACCATTGTCACTGCGGATCACCTTCACCTTGTGTCCGCATTCCCTCTGAGCTCTAGGCATCCACTCCTTAAGGACAGCCGCTGCCACCTCCCCCTTGCTCTTCAAAGGGTAAACCCACACTGCCCGAGTGTGGTCATCCACAATTGTCAAGAAATAGCGGCTGCCTGAGAGGGAAGGGGCTCTTGTGGGCCCCACCACATCCATGTGCACAAGTGCAAGTGGGGTCTTGGCTGGTCCTGTAGTGCTGTTGAAGGGGAACTTGGAGAACTTGGTCTCCAAGCATGTAGGGCAGCTCCCAATCTCCTTCACTCCCCCTTTCACCTCCAAGCCCTTCAGGCTCCCATCCTTCACCAACTTCTGCAGCATAGGGAAGTTCACATGACACAGCCTCTCATGCCATGTCTCCCAATCGGCCTCTCCACTCCTTGATGAAGCCTTAGCCCATGCCGCACTCGCATCCACACCAGCAAGCACCTCACCATGTGTCTGCTGCTGCTGCACTTTCTTGACTGCTTCCAGGACCCCATCAGTTGGTGCAGTTGCATCTCCTCCTGCTGTTGCCTTTGCCGCTGCTGCCGTTGCTGCTGTTGGAGTCTTCCCATTCCATGGGATGATGGGCAGCTGCCACAGGTCCTTGATGCAGCTGGTCTCCTCTTCCAGACTCCACAGCACCTTCTTCCCAAGCTTAGCACGGCAGCTGGTTCGTCCAAAGGTCACTTCGGCCTTGCTCTTCTGCAGTCGTCGCACAGAGAGAAGGTTAGCAGACAAGCCTTCAACCAGCAGAACATTCCCAAGCCCCACAAGCTCCCCATTAGCTCCCTTAACCTTGGCATTTCCAACACCAATGACAGGGAGCAAAGCACCTGACGCTGCTGCCACATACTTGATCTTCCCAGGGGGTTTTACCTCATCAAGCAAATCTGCCCGTGGGGTCATGTGACTGGTGCAACCCGAATCAATCACCCAGTGCGTGAGAGGGTGCATCACAACCTTTCCCACAGATCCCACATCACCCTCATGCCCATGCACATCCTCAACCATGAGAAACATCCCAGGATAGGCATTACCTTGTGCACCTTCACCTTGTGCACCTGAGCCTTGCACAGCGCCACCTTGTGCGCGTTCACCACTGGGCGGCTTCATGCCTGGAGGTGCCCATCCCTCCGGCCTGCTGAAGCACTTAAACCAAGGATGCCCGACCTTCTTGCAGTACCAGCAGGTGCCCTCCATTCTGGTACTCCCCTTGCCACTAGAGCTCCCATGCCCCTCATTATAGTCACCTCGGCCACTACCTCTGCCAAAGCTCCTCCCACGGCCTCGGCCTCTCCAACCCCCTCTTCCTCTGCCGCGCCCTGCAGCTCCATACCCCTCAGCAGTCTTAGTGGAAGCACCACCTCCCACATGGCGTCTGCGGAAGTCCTCCTGCAGAATCTGCTGCCTTAGCCACTCAGGTGTCCATTGATCTTGCTGAGAGTTGAGGGTGGGGATGAGGTTGTCCCACGAGTTATCCAACACCGAGATGATCTTGGTGCACTGCTGCAGCTGAGAAACGCTGCTGCCCGCTGCTGCCATCCTTGCATAGGTGTCCTTGATCTTGTCAAGGATCAGCTTCACATCATCCCCTGGTCGCATGGAGATTGCAGCAAGTTCCTTCTCGAGCACGATCACCATCGGAAGAGTGTTGGGCTGAATCACATCGCGTAGTAGTTTCCACGCCCTTGGACCCGAATCATCCGCTTCCACAAGATCCTTGATGTGCTCGAACATCTCATTGTTGACCGATTGAAGGATGAGGTCGAAAAGCACCGTGCTTTTCTCAATCCACCGTTCGCGTTCTTCGCCTTCTTCCGGCATCTTCTCCTCCCCAACAGCAATCTTCAGTAGCTTGTAGCGTTTGAAGGCACTCCTCATGCGCCCGCTCCATTCCTCATAGTTGGAGCCATCCAAAGCTTCAACTTTTGATGGTGGCGGCTCACTTGTCTTCTCAGGTACAGCTCCTCTTCCATTAGCATCTCCTCCTCTCTCATTCATCTTCTCCTTGAGAAATGACGAATTTCAGCTCCCCTTTGCTGTCCAGACTCAGCTCCCTCGATATTTTCACAAGTGTCGGCGTCCACGAAATTTCGGCAGAGTTTCCCCTTAGCGGAAGTCACATCCTGTTGTGTCATGTCATCATATGCTATCACATTCTGTCTGCCTCCCATCCCATGTTTTCAACTTGCATGTGTGGTTTGAATGTGCAAGCATTTGTGTGGTGTGTGTTCTGGAGTTTGGGAATGTGTTATGTGTTATTTTGTTTGAGCAGGTATTTGTGATGATAGATCTTGAGAAGATCTTTCCGACGCAACAAGAATCTCTTCAATTGGAGCAACAACGCGAAAGCTATGAAGATTCAAAGTTCATGAGCTTGCGTTACAATTGCGGCGGTTACTAAGTGAAGTTGTGGGGTGACTTTATATGGAGTTGGGACCTTTGGGGTTGGGGAAACTTGTCACTCTACTGTAACAGCTGCAAATAGGTTGGGAACAACCAAGCTAGGTTGGCAAGGGTGGCCAACTTGGATGGATTGGTTGGGAAGGGACAAAGGTCAAAGTTGAGGTTCCTATAGGGAGGGAATCTTTGTGCTTATGGGGTTTCCTTGGTTGGGGACTCTCTTGGGACCTTCCCTCTCATCCCTCTCTTCCTATCCCAACCTTTCTCTTGCTCCTTCTAATTCCTTGTGAGATTCTTGAACTTTGATTGAACCTTTGAGATTGAGTTAAGTTCTCCTCCTACAGCTTACCCCCTAGTGCGTCGAAAGCCATAGCGTCGCGAATACTTTATCAATCAACATGATTCAAATTGGGAACGGTAGCTGAGATTAAGAGCTACAACATATCCAAGTTTCGCGACATTCCAACGGCTAGTTGTTTGTCGACGTCGTTTCTTGTGAAGACGACTTTTCTGTCCAGAATTTCGGATTTATATTTTGAGTAATTCTAGCTCCTAAGTTCACCTAGACTCCGTCCTTAATCCTAACAAGTGGCATCAGAGCTGTATTAAGGACGTTGAGAGGAGTCTACAGAAGTGTGAAGACCCTTCTAGACCCACCATGGCCTGTGGGTGTGCCTAAGTGGTGTTCTAAAGGTTGGATGTGTCTTCCGCTAAGGGAAACTCTGCCGAAATTTCGTGGACGCCGACACTTGTGAAAATATCGAGGGAGCTGAGTGTGGACAGCAAAGGGGGGCTGAAATTCGTCATTTCTCAAGGAGAAGATGAATGAGAGAGGAGGAGATGCTAATGGAAGAGGAGCTGTAGCTGAGAAGACAAGTGAGCCGCCGCCATCAAAAGTTGAAGCTTTGGATGGCTCCAACTATGAGGAATGGAGCGGACGGATGAGGAGTGCCTTCAAACGCTACAAGCTACTGAAGATTGCTGTTGGGGAAGAGAAGATGCCGGAAGAAGGCGAAGCACGTGAACGGTGGATTGAGAAAAGCACGGTGCTTTTCGACCTCATCCTTCAATCGGTCAACAAGGAGATGTTCGAGCACATCAAGGATCTTGTGGAAGCGGATGATTCGGGTCCAAGGGCGTGGAAACTACTACGCGATGTGATTCAGCCCAACACTCTCCTGATGGTGATCGTGCTCGAGAAGGAACTTGCTGCCATCTCCATGCGACCAGGGGACGATGTGAAGCCGGTCCTTGACAAGATCAAGGACACCTATGCAAGGATGGCAGCAGCGGGCAGCAGTGTATCTCAGCTGCAGCAGTGCACCAAGATCATCTCGGTGTTGGACAACTCTTGGGACAACCTCATCCCCACCCTCAACTCTCAGCAAGATCAATGGACACCTGAGTGGCTAAGGCAGCAGATTCTGCAGGAGGACTTCCGCAGACGCCATGTGGGAGGCGGTGCTGCCACTAAGACTGCTGAGGGGTATGGAGCTGCAGGGCGCAGCAGAGGAAGAGGGGGTTGGAGAGGCCGAGGCCGTGGGAGAAGCTTTGGCAGAGGTAGAGGCCGAGGTGACTATAATGAGGGGCATGGGAGCTCCAGTGGCAGGGGGAGTACCAGAATGGAGGGCACCTGCTGGTACTGCAAGAAGGTCGGGCATCCTTGGTTCAAGTGCTTCAGCAGGCTGGAGGGATGGGCACCTCCAGGCATGAAGCCGCCAAGTGGTGAACGCGCACAAGGTGGCGCTGTGCAAGGCTCAGGTGCACAAGGTGAAGGTGCACAAGGTAACGCCTATCCTGGGATGTATCTCATGGTTGAGGATGTGCATGGGCATGAGGGTGATGTGGGATCTGTCGGAAAGGTTGTGATGCACCCTCTCACGCACTGGGTGATTGATTCGGGTTGCACCAGTCACATGACTCCACGGGCAGATTTGCTTGATGAGGTAAAACCCCCTGGGAAGATTAAGTATGTGGCAGCAGCGTCAGGTGCTTTGCTCCCCGTGATTGGTGTTGGGAATGCCAAGGTTAAGGGAGCTAATGGGGAGCTTGTGGGGCTTGGGAATGTTCTGCTGGTTGAAGGCTTGTCTGCTAACCTTCTCTCTGTGCGACGACTGCAGAAGAGCAAGGCCGAAGTGACCTTTGGACCAACCAGCTGCCGTGCTAAGCTTGGGAAGAAGGTGCTGTGGAGTCTGGAAGAGGAGACCAGCTGCATCAAGGACCTGTGGCAGCTGCCCATCATCCCATGGAATGGGAAGACTCCAACAGCAGCAACGGCAGCAGCGGCAAAGGCAACAGCAGGAGGAGATGCAACTGCACCAACTGATGGGGTCCTGGAAGCAGTCAAGAAAGTGCAGCAGCAGCAGACACATGGTGAGGTGCTTGCTGGTGTGGATGCAAGTGCGGCATGGGCTAAGGCTTCACCAAGGAGTGGAGAGGCCGATTGGGAGACATGGCATGAGAGGCTGTGTCATGTGAACTTCCCTATGCTGCAGAAGTTGGTGAAGGATGGGAGCCTGAAGGGCTTGGAGGTGAAAGGGGGAGTGAAGGAGATTGGGAGCTGCCCTACATGCTTGGAGACCAAGTTCTCCAAGTTCCCCTTCAACAGCACTACAGGACCAGCCAAGACCCCACTTGCACTTGTGCATATGGATGTGGTGGGGCCCACAAGAGCCCCTTCCCTCTCAGGCAGCCGCTATTTCTTGACAATTGTGGATGACCACACTCGGGCAGTGTGGGTTTACCCTTTGAAGAGCAAGGGGGAGGTGGCAGCGGCTGTCCTTAAGGAGTGGATGCCGAGAGCTCAGAGGGAATGCGGACACAAGGTGAAGGTGATCCGTAGTGACAATGGTGGGGAGTTCATTGGAGCTGATTTTGAGGGGGAGTTGAAGAGGAAGGGGATCCAGCATCAACTGACAGTGCCCTACAACCCGCAGCAGAATGGCGTGGCTGAGAGGTTCAACAGGACCCTGCAGGAGGGGGCACGCACTCTCCTTGGGCGTGCAGGGCTACCTGATCCGTTTTGGGTGTCTGCACTGAGGCAGGTCGCCCTTGTGAAGAATAGAGTGCTGGCTACAGTTGGGGATAAGGAGTGGATCCCATATACCAAGTGGTATGGGAGTGCTCCAGCTGTGAATATGCTGAGGGCATTTGGGTGCATGGTAGTGTTTCATGTGCCTAAGGAGAAAAGAGGGAAGTTGGAGGCTTCTGGAAGATGGGGTGTGCACTTGGGGATTGCAAAGGATCACAAGGGATGGCTTCTATGGGACTTGACCATCCAGAAGCTGACAGTGTCAAGGGATGTGAAGTTTCTTGAGTCCCTGTACTATAAGGAATGGAAGCAGCAGCAACAGAAGCTTCCATCTACACCACTCATTGTGGAGGCAGATGAGTTGCAGCAGCCTTCAAGGCAGGTGGAGGTTGCAGTGTCTGAGGAGGAGATATCTGGGGTGACTGAAGAAGGGGGAGCAGCTGAAGTGGAGCAGCAACAGCAACATGAGTCTCCACCTCGAGTTCCACACCCGCCTGAGCGACCTAGGAGGGATGTGCGCCCTCCTGTGAGGCTGACCTATGGGGGAAGAGGCAAGCCAAATGTGGTGCAGGCTGGGAGTGTGGTTGAGCAGATTGAGGAAGATGAGATCGCTCACTGCTACTGGGCACCAATCCCTGAGCCCAAGACTCGAGAGGAGGCCTTGAATGGACCAAATGGGGAGAAGTGGAAGGCGAGTGAGGATGAGGAGTTCGGGTCCCTAATTGAGAACGAGACATGGGACCTGTGTGACTTGCCTCCTGGAAAGAAGGCAATCACTTCCAAGATGATCTACAGGCACAAGTATGGACCTGAAGGGGAGCTGACCCGCTACAAGTCTAGGCTTGTGGCACGGGGGTTTCAGCAGACAAAGGGGAAGGACTATGATGAGGTGTTTGCTCCTGTGGGGAAAGGAACAACACTGAGGGTGCTGTTGGCGATAGCTGCACTCCTGGGATGGAAGATACGGCAGATGGACATTGTGACTGCCTTTCTGAATGGGATCATTCTGGAGGAGGTGTACATGAAGCAGCCAGAGGGGCTGGATGACGGGAGCGGCAGGGTCTGCAGGCTGAAGAAGGCCATCTATGGCCTTAAGCAGGCGCCTCGTGCATGGTATCACAAGTTGGAGGAGGCGCTGTTGGCTGGGGGTTTCAAGAAGAGTGAGTGTGACCCCAGCCTGTTCCTGCTGCAGGAGAAGGATGAAATCCTCATGCTCTTGGTGTATGTGGATGATATCCTTCTCTTTTCTGCATCCACTGCTTTGCTGGACAGCGCAGAGCAGATGCTGGAGATGCAGTTCAAGTGCTCCAAGATGGGTGAGGTGAAGTACTACTTGGGGATGCACGTGGAGAGAGATGTGGAAAAGGGTGTGCTGAGGTTGCACCAGAGGAAGTACTGTGAGGGGCTGGCTGAGAAGTATGGGCTGCAAGATGGGGGAAAGCCAGCAACACCACTACCTTCAGGGTTTACTGTGGAGCCATGTGCTGATGAGGAGGTAGTGGGTGAGAGTGACAGGAAGCTGTTTCATTCGATGGTTGGGTCGCTGAATTATGCTGCAAATCATACACGGCCTGACATTGCATTTTCTACATCACGGTTGGCTAGTGTGGTCTCACGCCCTAGTCATGAGCAGCTGGAAGCGGCCAAGAGGTTGGTCCGCTATGTGAGTGCTACGGCATCAGTGGGATTGGAGTACAGTGGAGTGAGGCAGCGGTTGCAGAGAGGTGCTGCAGATGTGAAGAGTGGAAAGATGCTCTTGAGTTGCTATACTGACGCTAGCTTCAACTCAGTGAAAGCGGATGGCACCAGCATTGGGGGTTATGTGTGCTTGCTAGGAGGTGGTGCTGTGAGCTGGCGCAGCAAGAAGCAGAATGAGGTGGGATTGTCTTCATGTGAGACTGAGTACATGGCCTTACACCATGGGGCCAAGGAAGTAGTGTGGCTAAGGCGTTTGTTGGAGGAGTTGGGAGTTGGTCAGGAGAAGCCGACAGTTGTGTTTTGTGACAATGAGTCCGCTGTGAAGCTCGCCAAGAATGCTTGTCTGCATGGGCTGACAAAACACATAAGGCCTAAGTGGCATTGGGTGAGGAGAATCCTTGATAAGGAGGTGCGGCTGGAGATAGTGAAGACCCATCAGCAGGCAGCAGATATTTTCACCAAGCGTCTGGCGGAGGCGGATCATTGGAAGGGCATGAAGCTTGCTGGGATGAGTGTGCATTGAGTATGCATGCTTGAGATGTGGTATGGTGGATGATGGTTGGCAGCCAGAGGGGGAGATTGTTGTGTGATGTCATCATATGCTATCACATTCTGTCTGCCTCCCATCCCATGTTTTCAACTTGCATGTGTGGTTTGAATGTGCAAGCATTTGTGTGGTGTGTGTTCTGGAGTTTGGGAATGTGTTTGTGTTATTTTGTTTGAGCAGGTATTTGTGATGATAGATCTTGAGAAGATCTTTCCGACGCAACAAGAATCTCTTCAATTGGAGCAAGAACGCGAAAGCTATGAAGATTCAAAGTTCATGAGCTTGCGTTACAATTGCGGCGGTTACTAAGTGAAGTTGTGGGGTGACTTTATATGGAGTTGGGACCTTTGGGGTTGGGGAAACTTGTCACTCTACTGTAACAGCTGCAAATAGGTTGGGAACAACCAAGCTAGGTTGGCAAGGGTGGCCAACTTGGATGGATTGGTTGGGAAGGGACAAAGGTCAAAGTTGAGGTTCCTATAGGGAGGGAATCTTTGTGCTTATGGGGTTTCCTTGGTTGGGGACTCTCTTGGGACCTTCCCTCTCATCCCTCTCTTCCTATCCCAACCTTTCTCTTGCTCCTTCTAATTCCTTGTGAGATTCTTGAACTTTGATTGAACCTTTGAGATTGAGTTAAGTTCTCCTCCTACAGCTTACCCCCTAGTGCGTCGAAAGCCATAGCGTCGCGAATACTTTATCAATCAACATGATTCAAATTGGGAACGGTAGCTGAGATTAAGAGCTACAACATATCCAAGTTTCGCGACATTCCAACGGCTAGTTGTTTGTCGACGTCGTTTCTTGTGAAGACGACTTTTCTGTCCAGAATTTCGGATTTATATTTTGAGTAATTCTAGCTCCTAAGTTCACCTAGACTCCGTCCTTAATCCTAACACATCCAACCTTTAGAACACCACTTAGGCACGCCCACAGGCCATGGTGGGTCTAAAAGGGTCTTCACACTTCTGTAGACTCCTCTCAATGTCCTCAATATGGCTCTGATACCACTTGTTAGGATTAAGGACGAAGTCTAGGTGAACTTAGGAGCTAGAATTACTCAAAATATAAATCCGAAATTCTGGACAGAAAAGTCGTCCTCACAAGAAACGACGTCGACAAAAAACTAGCCGTTGGAATATCGCGAAACTCGGATATGTTGTAGATCGTAAGCTCAGCTACCGTTCCCAAATTGAATCATGTTGATTGATGAAGTATTCGCGACGCTATGGCTTTCGACGCACTAGGGGGTAAGCTGTAGGAGGAGAACTTAACTCAATCTCAAGAGTTCAATCAAAGTTCAAGAATCTCTCAAGGAAAAATTAGAGGAGCAAGAGAAAGGTTGGGATAGAAAGAGAGGGATGAGAGGGAAGGTCCCAAGAGAGTCCCCAACCAAGGAAACCCCATAAGCACAAAGATTCCCTCCCTATAGGAACCCCAATTTTGACATTTGTCCCTTCCCAACCAATCCATCCAAGTTGGCCACCCTTGCCAACCTAGCTTGGTTGTTCCCAACCAATTTGCAGCTGTTACAGTAGAGTGACAAATTTCCCCAACCCCCAAAGGTCCCAACTCCATATAAAGTCACCCCACAACTTCACTTTGTAACCGCCGCAATTGTAACGCAAGCTCATGAACTTTGAATCTTCATAGCTTTCGCGTTCTTGCTCCGATTGAATCGATTCTTGTTGCGTCGGAAAGATCTTCTCAAGATCTATCATCACAAATACCTGCTCAGACAGAATAACACAAAACACATTCCCAAACTCCAGAACACACCACACAAATTCTTTCACACACAGTCAAACCATACATGCGAATTGAAACAAGGGATGGGAGGCAGACAGAATGTGATAGCATATGATGACATCACACAACACAAACCACTCGCACACCACTCGAGGGGGTGGCAAACCACTCCCAAGCCAGTCTCGTGGTTGGCAAACCATTCGCACGCCACTCTTGAGGGGTGGCAAACCACTCACACGCCACTCTGAGGAGTGGCAAACCACTCGCACCCCACTCGTGGGGGTGGCAAACAACTCGCACGCCACTTTGGTGGGTGGCAAACCACTCGCACGCCACTCTTCTGGGGGGTGGCTAACAACTTGCACGCCACTCTTTGGGGGTGGAAAACCACTCGCATGCCACTCTCGGGGGGTGGCAAACTACTCGCACGCCACTCTGGAGGGGTGGCAAACCTCTCACACGCCACTCGGGGGGGTAGCAAACCACTCGCATGCCACTTCAGGGGTGGAAAACAAATCGCACGCCACTCGAGGGGGTGGCAAACCACTCCTGAGCCACTCTGGAGGGTGGCAAACCATTCGCACGCTACTCTCGGGGGGTGAAAAACCACTCGCACGTCACACTGCGGGGTGGCAAACCACTCGCACGTCACACTGCGGGGTGGCAAACTATTCCCATGCCACTCTTGGAGGGTGGCAAACCACTCGCACGCCAATCTTGGAGGGTGGCAAACCACTCGAACACCACTCGGGGGGAGGGCAAACAACTCGCACGCCACTCTTAGTGGGTGGCAAACGAGTTGCACGACACTCTGGGGGGTGGCAAACCAATCGCACTCCACTCTGGGGGGTGGCAAACCACTCGCACGCCAATCAGGGGGTGGCAAACCACTTGCATGCCATCCTCGGAGGGTGGCAAACCACTCGCACGCCACTCTCAGGGGGTGGCAAACCACTCGCATGCCACTCTGGGGGGTGGCAAACCAGTTGCACGCCACTCGGGGGGGTGGCAAACCACTTGCAAGCCTCTCAGAGGGGTGGCAAACCCTTCGCACGCCACTCTCGGAGGGTGGCAAACCACTCCCACGCCACTCTCGGGGGTTGGCAAACCACTCCCCTGCCACTCTGGGGGGTGGCAAACCACTTGCACGCCACTTTGGGGGGTGGCAAACCACTCCCAAGCAACTCTTGGGGGTGGCAAACCATTTGCATGCCACTATCAGGTGGTGGCAAACCACTCACGCACCACTCTCGGAGGGTGGCAAACCACTCGCACGCCACTCAGGGGGGTGGCAAACTACTCGCACGCCAATAGGGGGGGTGGCAAACCACTTGCATGCCAACCTCGGTGGGTGGCAAACCACTCGCATGCCACTCTGGGGAGTGGAAAACCACTCGCACGCCACTCTGGTGGGTGGCAAACCACTCCCAAGCCACTATGGGGGGTGGCAAACCATTCGCATCCCACTATCAGGCGGTGGCAAACAACTCGCACGCCACTTTGGTGGGTAGCAAACCACTCGCACGCCACTCTTCTGGGGGGTGGCAACCCACTCGCACGCCAATCTGGGGGCTGGCAAACCTCTCGCATCCCACCTTCGGAGGGTGGCAAACCACTGGCACGCCACTCTCAGGGGGTGGCAAACCACTCGCATGCGACTCTGGGGGGTGGCAAACCACTCGCATGCCAGTCGGGGGGATGGGAAACCACTCGCACGCCACTCTCGGGGGGTGGCAAACCACTCGCACACCACTCGGGGGGGTGGCAAACCACTCGCACCCCACTAATGGGGGTGGCAAACAACTCGCATGCCACTTTGGTGGGTGGGAAACCGCTCGCATGCCACTCTTCTGGGGGGTGGCAAACCACTCGCACGCCACTCTTGGGAGGTGGCAAACCACTCGCATGCCACTCTCAGGGGGTGGCAAACCACTCGCACGCCACTCTCAGGGGGTGGCAAACCACTCGCACGCTATTCTCAGGGGGTGGCAAACCACTCGCATGCCACTCTCGGGGGGTGGCAAACCACTCGCACACCACATTGAGGGGTGGCAAACCTCTTGCACGCCACTCCAGGGGGTGGCAAACAAATCGCACGCCACTCGGAGGGGTGGCAAACCACTCCCAAGCCATTCTGGAGGGTGGCAAATCATTCGCACACCACTCTCAGGGGGTGAAAAACCATTCGCACGTCACATTGCAAGGTGGCAAACAGCTTGCACGCCAATCTTGGAGGGTGGCAAACCACTCAAATGCCACTCGGGGGGATGGCAAACCACTCACACGCCACTCTCGGTGGGTGGCAAACCAGTCGCACGCCATTTGGGGGGGGTGGCAAACCACTCCCAAGCCTCTCTGAGGGGTGGCAAACCATTCGCACGGCACTCTCGGAGGGTGGCAAACTACTCCCACGCCACTCTCGGGGGTTTACACAACACTCGCATGCCATTCTGGGGAGTGGCAAACCCCTCGCACAACGCTCTAGGGGGTGGCAAACCACTCCCAAGCCACTCTGGGTGGTGGCAAAACATTCGCAAACCACTATCAGGGGGTGGCAAACCACTCGCGCGCCACTCTCGGGGGGTGGCAAACCACTTGTACGCCACTCTAGGGCGTGGCAAACCACTCGCACGCCAATCGGGGGGATGGCAAACCACTCGCATGCCACCCTCGGGGGGTGGCAAACCACTCGCACGCAACTCTCAAGGGGGAGCAAACCACTCGCATGCCACTCTGGTGGTTGGCAAACCACTCGCATGCCAATCATGGGGGTGGGAAACCACTCGCACGCCACTCTCGGGAGGGGTGGCAAACCACTCGCACACCACTCGGGGAGGTGGCAAACCACTCCCAAGCCACTCTAGGGGGTGGCAAACCAATCGCACGCCACTCTCGGGGGGTGGCAAACCACTCACACGCCACTCTAGGGGTTGGCAAACCACTTGCACCCCACTCGTGGGGGTGGCAAACAACTCGCACGCCACTTTGGTGGGTGGCAAACCAATCCCGCGCTACTCTTATGGGGGGTGGCAAACCACTTGCACGCCACTTTCGAGGGGTGGAAAACGACTCGCACGCCACTCTGGGAGGTGGCAAACAACTCGCACGCCACTTTTGAGGGGTGGCAAACCACTCGCACACCACTCGGTGGGGTGGCACACCACTCCCAAGCCACTCTGGGGGTTGGCAAACCACTCGCACACCACTGTCAGGGGGTGCCAAACCACTCCCAAGCCACTCTGAGGGGTGGCAAACCACTTGCACGTCACACTGCGGGGTGGCAAACAACTCGCACATCACACTGCGGGGTGGCAAAACACTCGCACGCCACTCTTGGAGGGTGGGAAACAACTTGCACGCCAACCTTGGAGGGTGGCAAACTACTCGCACACAACTCGGGGGGGTGGCAAAACACTGGCACGCCACTTTCAGTCGGTGGCAAACCAGTCACACGCCACTTTCAGTGGTTGGCAAACCATTCGCACGCCACTCGCGGGGGTGGCAAACCACTCCCAAGCCTCTCTGAGGGGTGGCAAACCATTCGCACGCCAGTCTTGCAGTGTGGCAAACCACTCCCACAC